CCCCCTGAGCGCCTGCTCCCCTCAGCCGCGACCGCAGCGCGCCGTCTCGGTTTGCATGACCCCTGCAGTCGTTGTGCGATAAGGGTCCATGTCCAGGACAAGTGTATTTTTAAAGTCTTTTTTTTTCTTGAAGTGGATACGTACAAATAAAATAAATGGAAGACAGGACGACTTTTTCTATTTATTTGTAACACATCGTTCTGAAAAGCATTTGAAGCCTTGTTCCAGACAGAGTTAGAAGCGAACACAGTACTAGCTGAGTTACGACCCATCGTACGGCTTTCGTTTTGGCCATAGGCGAGTTGCACTGTTACAGAATCCCTCGTGCTCAGGACACAAGGTCGTTTTCTTTCTCCACATTCATTCGCAAGCAGAAATGTCAGTGTCCCCAGGAAGGGGTCCAGCCTCTGTGGTTACAGTCAGGGCCCTGCTGGGGACGCGGCCTGCTCCGCGCAGGGTGGGCAGTGCTGCGCTCGTGTCCCTGACCCGAGCGGCCAGAGATGACACCACGACCCTGAAGTGACCAGAACACGAAGCGGACGGCCTCGCCCTCTGGCCGGCCCTCTCCGGGTCTCGGCCCGGGCCACGCTGGCGGAAGTGATGTTGCCTCAGGCAACCACGAGGAGGGCACCCTCCTGCCTCTTCCTCGTCAGACTCCCGCAGCCCTCGCTCTAAGTGAGCCTCGTCGTCAGCCGTGCTCCGATCAGTCCACCCCAAGTGGCGGTGCTCGCCCTTCTCCCGGGACCCTCCTCCACGCGACCCTTTTCCTCTGCCTAATCCAGCAAACTGACCTAGCGCCCACCTGTTCCTCTGCTCTGAGCGCCAAGAGGGCTCCGCTTTGTCACCTCCAGCGCACACGCAGCAGCGGGTGCTGAGCGCGAAGGGAGCCCTCTGTACTGCTCTCCCGCGAAGCATCCGGAGTCCCCGACCTCACAGGAGTTGTGCAAGGAGACCACCTGTGCCCTCCAGAGCTCGGCGACAGGCGGCGGCGGCTGTCACCCCGTAAGGCGCGTTTCACGTCCTCACCCCTAGCAGGCCCGCAACCTCCACTCCGGAGTCCCTGCCATCACTGGGCGGAGACACCAGACGCGAACCCCAGTTCCCAGGGTTAGCCACATCCCCCGCCACCTCCTGGGAAGGGTCGCCGGCCAGCCCTGCGAGCCCCCACACACGCGGCCGGGCACAGCGGAGGAAAGAAACCAGGACGCCTCGGGGAACGTCGGCCGGACACCCACAAACACTTCGGGAGAACCCAGGAAAGCCAGGCCCCGCCGGCCAGACGTGGTCCCGGGCTCCACACGGCCGTACGCGACACATCCTCAGCCAAAAACGGAGGCAAAAAAAAGTTCCGGCTTTTAGAGGGATCCTAGGAAGGGCAGTACATTTTTTTTTATCAACGTAAGAAAGAAAAACATTACAGCCCAACATAATCTTGAGGGAAAAGCCACACTCGAGACCCCTCCATTTCATCCGGGGCCCTAGAAATGGATTCCAAGCTCGGGCACCCACAGCAACAAAGACAGTTAATACAGGACTCCGCACAAAACAACTGAACTAGCGGGCGTCTTCCCTCTCACTTAAATCATAATGCTCCTCACAGCGCGGTGCACCGCGTTCTGGGGCGGGGAGAAGCACGGGGAAGGTCCGGGCGCCCCACCCGCACGGCGGACGCAGGCTCCGCATCTGCCCGGTGAGGTGAGGGTGAGGCCCGCGTCACCCCTGTGCCACGGCACGGCTGCGGCAAGCTCTGCAGCCGGTCTCCGGCTCCCTGTCCTCTCGGGAAGCGGGGCACCGGGCGGAACGGCGTCATCGGAAGTTCCTCGTCACTAGCAAATACACCAGTAAACAAACAGCCCCGACCACGGAGGCAATGCGTCTCTCCTAGCTGCTGTCTCAGCCCCACACTGGGCCGCCCACAGGAAGACGGTCGGCCTGCAGCAGATGCCGCCTGGGCCACGCCTGCCACCCTCAACTCCAACTCCAACACATCACCACTGCCGCCTCCGCTGCTGCCTGGAGGCCTTTGAATGCTACGGCGACTGCGTGCGCAGTGCTGAAAAGTTCAAAATAAACACATCTTCCGTTCCAGCAGAAATAATCCTTTACCACCTACGAGTCTTAAAATATCTGCCCTTGAAAAATGCACTCAAGCGGATTTCTTGTGTCTCTTCTGTTCTTTACAACCGTATCGTTCACAGCCCTCTTCCAGAGCACACCTCACACTTTACGGAATTTCCGAATGGCTCTGAGTGGTTCTCCAAAAGCTAACTGGCATTCTTTCTATAGAAACACAGCAGTCACACGAAGTCACCATCCAGGGCCACCGTCCCGCCTCGTTCCAGGCTGAAGGCAGGTCTCCTGGAATGCGCACCTAATGTCTTACATCAAAATGCCTAGGATGCTAGCGGCTGCTCTTTCCCCACTAAAATTCCAGGGGGAGAAGTGCAAGTCTGGTTACTTTTCTTTCTGATTATGACTGATATATCACATCAACATCTTTAGTGGTCTTTAATCAATATATTACTTTAAAATTCTCCTATCTCTATACTTAAAATTCTATTATTTTTCTTTATTTAAAAAAGTCAGTGTAGACTTCAGTGCCCTGCTATGTGTTGAGAACTAGTAAATAGATTTAAAAACGGGAGAACACAAATCGGATCAGGCATAATACAGTACTTAATCTATCTTAGAATATTTATACCATCCTACCCTCATCAATTATAATTTCCAGGAGTGTATTTAAATACATGCGGACTTATTTTCATCCAAAATGACTAGAATAAAAGTCTCCAACAGATGCTTTCACGTCTGGGCATTAATAGCTGCCCTTCTCCTTAAGCAGGGTCAGCTCATCTGACGTTGGGTCTCAGCACGCGCTGCGGAGAACCCTAACTACCACCATTCACAGATCTTCTCAGGCGTACTCTTTATCAAGGACAGAAAGCAAGCCCTCGCATAGGTAAAAGGAACAATTACTGCTATTAACATTGATTTTAAAAAATCCAATTCTAACCGAAGGAAGTCACAAGAAGCATCTAAGATATAAACAGACAGTATCCACATAGTTTATTTCTCACAGTTCTCCTGACAAAGGAACATTATTCAAGAACATACTGTATACACGGATAAGAAGAAACATACAAAATGTTTTAAATGATGCACAACAAAATCCAGCAGTATAAAAGAATGCATGTGAACTCTTGCTCACCGCGCAGACTAAATTTAATCACTTGTTTAAATAGTAATAAAAATACAATCTTTTATGGATCTTGTTCAGACTACAAAAGAGGGAAATTATTACCATATATATGATTTTTATATTAGGCAGTTTTCTTTGATGAGTTGTACCGACAACTCCAAATACAGAGGCAGAAGTCTGTGTATTTTAAAGGAATTAATAATGTTGTGAATTGGAGACTTTACACAGTTACTACCACTGGCACTTTTCACCATAGTTCGCACACATCACATGATCATCTTATAGAACGTTACATTTAAAAATATATCTGAGTGACGATTTTAGAACATTCACACACCATGAGCTGGTTAAGAGGCAATGCCACAGTTGCCTCCTGTAGTGCTTTGCTGTTGAGAACAAGGACAGTTCATTGCGGTTAAAAGAAGTTAGGTATCAATGTGGTTAAGCAGCTCCGATTTACTAAAGGCCATCAACGACCAGCACTGGAGAGTGAGTTCTTTTAGAGTACAGATCCTAGAAGCGAACACCGTCATTGGTTAAAACTTTGTCTAAGGAAGTCAGTTTCTGTGCTGAAAACTATTTTCACAGAACTGAAAGCTACTGAAGTGTTTGAATATAAATACTTTGCCTTCTTGTTACCATATTTATGACCAAGTTCTCTGAACCTTTGGGATTTCCTCGCGGGGATGTGTGCTCTCGCGTCCGTCTCACCCACTAAGCTCCCGCCTCCAGGCCTCGACGCAGCGGGGATTCACCGGGGAACCAACCCTCTGCTCACCGGGACGCGTGGCTGCTGGACAGGGATGGGAGCCACGCGGTGCAGAGTCGGGCTGGGCGAGAACGCTCGGACGCGCTCGTGCTGTGAGTGTCATTCAGGGAAAGCAGGGACCTTGCCGAACCGCGCACATCGCCAACAATGACCACTGCTGTGTGTGGAGAGGACTCGTGAGGGACGCGCCCGCTCTGCCCTGTCATCTGTTCGCCGGGAAGTAGTTCGGGTCCAGGTAATTGTAACTGGTGCCCTGGGACACGCAGTAGTCTCTGTCTAAGAATGTCTCTGACCTGTAAACAGGCTCTAGCTGGTGATCTTCCTTGTGAATATCTGTTTCGTGTCGGCTGCGGAGAGAGAGACAGAGCACAGACTCATTGCGCGGCACTGAATGCACGTGGTCTGCACGTTACAAAAGCCCACAGCCGAACCTGTCCGGTGTACTAATCTGGCCAAATCTTCCTTTCGTGGAAAGCCACCCAAGATACGGCATGAAAGAAAAACTTTATACTCACTCAGAACAAAACTGAATTCCCAACGTGTGGATACTTTTTGAAGAAGTTTGGAGATCAAGTTCACTGGCTGAGAAGCTCTGTCCTTGTCAAATTCTGGTTTTTTGCTTTTGGAACCGGAGATCGAACTCGGGACCTTGCGCTTGCCAGGCAGGTGCGGCGCCGCTGAGCTACATCCCTGGCCCCGTCCTTGCCAAACTTTAAGACCACAGATGCAGAGAACACTTACCAGTCCGAACAAGAATCACAGAAATCCAAAGACATCTCCGGGGGACAATCCTGGCAGTGCCACCGAACACCCTGGATAGGTTCCATG